CTTGCTGTTGGTCTCTGTATTTGTTCCCATCTACAGCAGGGGGACGCTTTTGATGGTGGCTGAGCAAGACACTGATCTCTGAGTATAGCAGACTGTCAGTAGAAGTCATTTTATCACTACAGTTTTTATACCAATATTATTTGGTTTAACATTAAGCCCCTAGGCGATCTAGTACCAGGTTCTTGGCCATCTAAGCTGTATTGGGTAGGAGCTCCATCCCATGGAATCAGCCTTATGTCGAATAAAATACAAGTTGGTGTCTCTCACAATTGAGCTAAATTTTCTAAAAAGTCAATTTACAATAATTTTAACATGGATTATATGATGACTATTACTGAAAGTGAATAATGCTTACTGTTTTCCTTGGTGTTTAGGATCACCTGCTCAACCCCTTATTCTATATATTTCCACTTGTAAGATACTGAATAAATCATCTCATTGGATTAGTCTAGTGATAAAATGATTTCTCATGTAACTCTTTAGTTGATTTATGGCTTTAAATTTTTTACTTTGAATGACAAGTTATTAAAATTTTTTCTAAATCAGTTTTCTAGTACCAAATTCTTAAATGAGAAGGAACAAGACAAAAGTCTATAAAATTTAACTTCCTCCATCCTAGGAAAACCAACATCTCTCTTAAAATGCAAAGGCATGCTCCTTTTCTTAGAACACAACTAGCTAGCTTTTGTGTTTGTATTTAAACATAGAAGTGAATGTTTCAGGCTTTGTGGACTATTTTGTCTTTATTGCAGCTGCTCAATTTCTGCTATGCTGTGGGAAGTAGTCTCATACAGTAGTAATTAAAAATAAAAGAGCTGTCCAAAGCCAGCCTTCAGGGCCTAACTAACTTAATGTTATGAGTCACCTTGAAGAAACTAATGTCTAGTCAGATGCCCTGGCCCACTTAAGATATAGCAGGAAATCACCATAAATATTTTGACAATGAATACTTTAAATATAGCCAACTCTTTGCATTATAACATTCATCTTTTAAGAACCATGCTTTTCACTGGCATAACATCAAGAACTTGCTTAAGTATCAGTTACTAAGGGTTTGTTTTAAATTAATAAATAACATCCACACAATTTAATACACAATTTAATTTTTTAAAAATTGAATGAAGATATAATAGAATTAAAACATTATCTTCTTAAAATCTTGAGGTTCGTATTTAGAGCTACTTGAAATGTCTGATATATAAAATTGTAGAACAGGACTTTCAAATTGGCCATTTTACTAGTACAATATAATTACCAAGGCACAGAAATGTGCAATGCCTAGACATTCAAGTAAAACCATTATTCTTTTCAATGTAGAATAAGTAATTTATATTCTACAAGGGCAGTGAGGTTAGTAGTTCTATATTAGTTCTATTATGTCCTGGCATAATTTCCCAATGTGCAAAAAAACAATTTTCTTAAGGCCTTGTTTTATTTGCTGGTTAATGGACAAAAGATAATATAATTTGATTTCAAGCATTTTCTTAAAATCTATGTTTGTAATAATTATGAAAATTTGAAAAGAGAAAAATTGAAAATGTTAAATATATCTTATACAATCTCATTTGTACAAAATACACGTTAAATGTAAACTTTAAGCAGTCATGGTAATTTTGAGCAAATCTGTTTTGTGTGATATGTAGTTACATTGTAAAGTTTCTTTCTTCTGTTATTTGTGAAAAGATCAACACCAGAATAAGCTACTATTTATTAGCAAAGGGCCTAAAAAGCTTTCTTTAGCACTAATCATGCATGTGGTTATATGTGTTTCCTAATTTGAGATCATCTAAACACTGGGGGGGGGATGCATATATAAAAAGGCTGGGCTGAAGAGATGGTTCAGAGGTTAAGAGCACTGGACCTCTTCCAGAGGCCCTCAGTTAATTCCCAGCAACCACATGGTGGCTTACAACCATCTATAATAAGTTCTAATGCCGTCTTGTGGCTTGTAGGTGTACATGCAGATACAGCATTCATATACATAAATAAATAAATCTTTAAAAAAAACAAAAAGGAAAGAAAATAAAAGGGGCAGTATGCCCATAAACCAACAAACTGTCAGTCATGTATCGTAAAACACAAAGAAATTCACATATGTGCACAATGGTCGGGTATTACATACACACACAGATGCACACATGCATGTATGCACACATTCCATGCACAACAATCAGGTTAAATAAAGCCTAACAAGATGCCACATCTAGTTCAATTTAATGTGGTTTTATGAGTTCATTAAATGAGCAGCTCTTTTGGCCATCTTTCTTTTTTATTAAATTATTTTATTTACATTCCAAAAGTTGCCCCTCTTCCTGGTCCTCCTTCCTGAGTTCTTCATCCCATCTTCCCACTTCTGAGAGGGTTCACACCTACCCACCCACCCCCACCTTACCCCCACCAGCATCCCTCTTCCCTTGGGCATCAAGTTTCCACAGGATTGAAGACAAACTCTCCCTCTGAGGCCAGACAAGGCAGTCCTCTGCTACATGTATGCCTGGGGCCATAGACCAGCCCATGTATGCTCCTTGGTTGGTGGCTTAGTCTCTGGGAGCTGTGAGGGGTCCGGGTTAGTTGATACTACTGATCTTCCTATGAGGTTGCAATCCTCTCAGCTCCTTCAGTCCTCCCTCTAACTCGTCCATACAGGTCCCCTACCTACCTCAGTCCAATAGTTGGCTGTAAGTATCTGCATCTGTCTCAGTCAGCTGCTGATAGAGCCTCTCAAGCAAGCACAACATGGCATCAGTAATAGTGTCAGAGTTTGATCAGCACACATGGGATGGATCCCAAGTTGGACCCATCATTGGGTGGCCTTTCTTTCTGTTTCTGCTCCATTTTTGTCCCTGCATTTCCTTTAGACAGGAACAATTCTGGGTCAAAAATTTTGAAGATGGGTGGGTGGTCTCCTGCCTCAACTGGGGGCCATGTCTATCTACTGGAGGAGGTCTCTTCAGGTTCCATCTCTTCAATGTTGGGCAGGCTAACAGGATTCAATGGGGATGACATTGGTCATCTTTCTATTCTTGAAAACAGTATGTAAAAATGGTGATTATATTCTTCAAGGTCTCCTTTTACTTCAAGTGTGATGAAATCCCCTGCTGGTGTCTTATGTAAAGATAACTGGCACTCTTTTGGGGCATTGGTTACAATATATCTGTAACTATTTTCTCATTAACTTCTCCAGCAAAGCTTCACCAGAATGGAAGGCAACATTCTCTATACTCCATTTTTTTGTTTCATTCCCTCTACAATCTCCTATAAAGTATTACTATCCACTGCATCTCCTCAAATAACTCTATGCCTTTTGTATTCTCAGTAACAGGAAACTTCTTACCTAAAATATCAGAGACCTTTAATACAGTATCGAGAGAAAGCCCACAATCAGCTAATTATTAGTGGTTCCTCTGTATATTTGATACTATTAAATGTCTCAGGTGTTCACCCCATATTTTCTCACACCTTTATAAATGCCATAGGTCTACTGACTACAGACATGGGCTGTGCTACTACGTGTTCAAAAGCATCATTTTCAAAAATCTTTCCCCAGTTTGGAACAGCATAGTCTGGAACAGATCTTATTTTCCATAGTATTGGAGCAATTCCTAGTGCTGCAACTGTTTCTTTGAAGTAAACCAGATGAGCAGGTGCCCCTTCCCCAGCAGTCTTTTGTAAAGAGATTTCTCTGTAGCCAAATCATGTAACTTGTATTCCAGACCATTTAAGTTACTGTGATGGTTTGTATGTGCTTGGCCTAAAGAGAAGGCCTAGATGGCCTACTAGAAGGTGTGGTCTTGTTGGAGTAGGTGTGTCACTGTGGGTATGGACTTTAAGGCCCTCATCCTAGCTGCCTGGAAGCCAGTATTCTGCTAGCAGCCTTTGGATGAAGATGCAGAACTCTCAGCTCCTCCTGTGCCATGTCTGTCTGGATGCTGCCATGTTCTCACCTTGATGATAAAGGACTGAACCTCTGAACCTGTAAGCCAGCTCCAATTAAATGTTGTCCTTATCAGAGTTTCCTTGGTCATGGTATCTGCTCACAGCAGTAAAACTCTAACTAAGTCAGTTATTAAAAGTTTCCAACAAGTCAGGAAGTGCATGCTGATAAGAGCCTGATATGGATGTCTCCTCAGAGGCCTTCAAGAGTCTGACATATTCAGAGGCAGATGCTCACAACTAGCCATTGAACTGATCATGGGGTTCTCAATGGAGGAGTTAGAGTGAGGACTGAAGGAGCTGAAAGGGTTTGTGGCACCATGAGGAGAGCAACAATACCAACCAACCACAGCTCCCAGGGTCTAAACCACCAGCCTGGGAGCACTTATGGAGGGATCCAGGGCTTCAGCTGAATACGTAAGAGTGGAGGGCCCTGCTGGGCATAGGTGGAAGATGAGATCCTTGACCTCATGAAGGCTGGACGCCCCAGGGGGTGGGAATTTTGAGGGTGGGGAGGGGGGAGTGGGGGGTGGTAGGTAGGGGTTACATCCACAGAGAAGAAGGAGGAGGGGTAAGGGGATAGGGGGTTCCCAGATGGGTGGGGGATGGGGTTAGGGGACAACATATGAAATGTAAATAAAATATCCAATAAAAAAAAGAAAAGAAAATCAGAACAATAAATAAATAAATAATAAAAGTTTCCAACAAATATTTTGCCAGTATTTTCTTCTGCTCTCTAGAATTTGTGACCACTATGATGGAAACCAGGACTGAACAAGAATACCCTCAAATCAGTATATAAGCAGATAGCATTCTGGGGCCATGTTTTCTACTATGAAGAGGTTTCTGTGGGGATGTCAGACCCCTCAGGAACAGCCTTTCCTTTCATGGGACACGACCAGTGTAGTTCTCATTATGCTCTGAGCAACCAATGACTTTCCCAGACCAAGGTACAAATACTGCCATAAATATTCCCCAAAGCATATGGCCATCTCTGTTACAGAAAAGACCTATGAACATGGGACCAATTTCTGTCCTATTGTGTTGAAGCAAAAAGATCCTTGCGCTCACAGGTAGCACTAAGGAAACCAGAAATGTTAAACATGAAGGGTTATCTTCTCAAAGAAAAAGATGTATAACTTGTTTTCCACCCAGAAATTTGGGAATGGAGGCAGCTAATAGCCTAGGTGATCTTTGTGTTATCTTTAGGGCCAAGTTACACTAAGCTATCCAAGCAGGACTGGAAGTGGCTAATAGTCTGAGTGACATCGTGCTATCTATATGAGTGGAGGTGGCTAATAGCCCAGATGACCTCTACAGAGACCACATCAGATCCTCTCCTAGCACTTAACATATGTAACCTATCTCTAAAACCCATCTTCATGGACGAAGTGACATGTACTTTGAGAAGAGTTTCAAAATAATTATGCTTCCTTGTACATGGGATTGTGTTGCTCTGGGAAACTTTTTTCCAAAGTTGTATTGTACTTAGATATTTCTAAAATAAACTGTTCAGGGTCAGACTTTAAAAATTTGAACCAATACCATCTAACTGAGCTGTGTTGAACCAGATTTCCTTCTTGTCTCTTGTGGATTGTTATTCTGCCTGCCCTGCTGACCAGAGACTACTTCATTATTTCTGTGATAAAACACCATGGCCAAAAGAAACTTGAGAAGTAATGGGTCTATTTGAAGTGTATAGTTCCACATCAATGAAGTCAGAGCAGAAACTCAAGGCAAGCACATGAAGGGAGGAAATGAAGCAGAAGATATGGAGAAATGCTGATTATTAGCTTTCTCTCCATGGCTTACTCAGCCTGGTTTCTTTTTTAAAATATTTATTTATTTATTTATTTATTTATTTATTTATTTAATGTGTTTGATTACACTGTACCTGTCTTTAGACACACCAGAAGAGGGCATCGGATCCCATTACAGATGTTTGTGAGCCACCATGTGGTTGCTGGGAATTGAACTCAGGACCTCTTGACGAGCAAGCAATCAGTGTCTTAACCACTGAGCCATCTCTCCAGCTCAAAGATTTATTATATTTATATGAGTACACTGTAGCTATCTTCAGACACACCAGAAGAGCATATCAGATCCCATTATAGATGGTTGTGAGCCACCATGTGCTTGCTGGGAATTAAACTCAGAACCTCTGGAAGAGCAATCAGTGCTCTTAACCGCTGAGCCATCTCTCCAGCCCCTCAGCCTGGTTTCTAATACACCCTAGGACCACCTGCCCAGGGGGTTCACTGTGCACAGTGGGCTAGGCCTACTCACACCACTACTAATTAATTATGAATTAATAAAATGCCTCATAATCTTGCCTCTAGGCAATCTGGTGAGGACATTTTCTCAAATGAGACTCTCCCTCCCCAAATGACTCTAACCTGTGTGAAGTTGACATAAAAATTAGCCAGCACACCTGGGCAGGCTAAAGTCAAGCATCTTGACTAGACTGGGCTGGAACACAAGACTTGCCACTTGGACTAAGCTTCCAGACTGAGACTAGCACAGGCAGAACTATCCAGACTCTGTTGGCAACAGCACAGATGGGATTAACCAGATTCATATTTTAAAATGTATCAGTACATTTTAAAAGTGTAATTAGCAATCATCTAGCAGTCTACCATATGGGAGCACAATTTAACCATTATTTTAACAAGGTTATTACTTTTCGATTTACATAATTATATCTGTAGTGGTTTGAATAAGAGTGGCTCCCATATGTTCATATGTTTGAATACTTGGTCCCCAATTGGTGGAACTGTTTAGGAAGGATTAAGATGTGCACCTTCACGGACAAAATGTGTCACTGGGAATGGACTTTGAGGTTTCGAAAGACTCAATCCATTTCCACTGTGTCTCTTTATCTCTGCCTACTAATTGTGGATTAAAATACAAAAAAAACAATTAAATACTTTCATTTATAAGTTGTTTGAGTTTATGTTTTCAGAGTGTTAGAGTCCATAGTGGTGGAGCAAAGGCATGGTGGCAGGAGCGACAGAGAGCTCACAATATCATTCTCTCTACCTGCTTCCTGGTTGTTATCACAACATGTAATAGCTCAGCTACTTCTGTAAGCAAGCCTCCTAGTGTATGCTTTCAAAAACTAAGTTGCCTTGGCCACTGTTTTAGTTTGGGTTTGATTGCAGTGAAGAAAAACAATGAGTAAGGCTACTCATATAAAGAAAAGCATTTCATCGGCGCTAGCTTACATTTTCAGGGGTTTAATCCATTATCATCATGGTAGGATGCATGGCAGCATGCAGGTATGGTTCTAGACAAGCTGAGAGCTCTACATCTTAATCTGAAGGCAGCAAGGAGGAAACTGTCTTCCACACTGTGTAGAGCCTGAGCATATATGAGATCTCAAAGCCCACATCCACAGTGACACACTTCCTCCAATGAGGGCACACCTATTTCAACATGGCTACACCTCCTAATAGTACCACTTCCTATGAGCCAAGTATTCACACTCAGGAGTCTATCAGGGCCATACCTATACAAACCACCACAGTCATGTTGTCTCTTCCTAGCAACAGAAAAGCAACTAGGATACCCTCCAAGTCTTCATCCTTGAACCAAACATCTAAGCCTCCTCACTATAGTCATAATTTAAAACTTTGTACCTCATATTCTTTTGTAGGTTCATGTAAGACACTGATGATCTGGGATCTTTTCTCCAATAAGGGCCTGTATATCCTGGCAAATTTCCTTTTGATAAAATGAAATTCCCTGACCTCTAGGTCAGAGGATTTGGCTTGAAGTCTTTTGACAGCATCCTTAACCACCAGAGTCAGGCCCTCATTCAGTTCTAAGTGTAAAGAATACAAAGCATTCAGGAAGACTGAGATTGCAATAGCAATCTCATCACTTGCCAAACTTGCTGTATCTCCCAATCCCTTACACTTTTAGCTTTGGGGACCATGAAGGATTCACTGAAATAATAGATGCAGTTTGGACTGGATAGGCTTTAGGCACAGGCGTGGGAGGGGCTAAGAAAAGCAGAAGGGCTGAGGAAACAGTTTTCGGAAAAGCTGACCCAAGATAAAGACAGCAGCAGAGGACCTGTATTATCATGAAGAAGGCTTAAAGCTGATTTGGAACAGTCCACTAAAGAACGTTTGTGTTAGCTGTTCTGGCAACAGGAAAAAGTGCCCCAAATCAATTGCATAGAAGATGTTATGTAAATTCCCCTTCCTTCATACATTGCTCTATTTCCTAAGTAGCTTGATATAGAATAAGGTAGAAATGACCAACTATTAATTCTGATTTGTTGATTTATTTAGTGATTTTCTTAAAGCACTGCTTGCACTGCCTATGTACCAAGCATGATGTCACTACCTACCTGAAGCAGAATGACTCAGGGAAATAGCTGGAGAAGCAGCTGGAAAAAGAGATGAAACAATAGGTTGTTGTTGCCCTTGACAACCTACTGACTGCTGCCATGTAAGCATCTGTAAAATTTTGCTGGCTTGTTTGCCCCACCTTGTGGTTATAGAGTATAAGTGAGAATACAAACTGGACCTGAGATGGTTTGATCCAGTGGTGACATCTCTTCTCTTCCACTCTGAATAGTGTCAGAGTGCTGATTCCAGGAAAATTCTCACAACAGTTGTAAGCAGCAAAACTTCATGCAACAAATGACGTTTCTGGGAATGGCAACTCCCCAAATTCCTTTAATCTTCATTCTTGTGTTGTTGAGTTTGTGATTTGATTTGTGTGTGTGTGTGTGTGTGTAGTTTTTGTTTTGTTTTTATTGGATATTTTATTTATTAACATTTCAGATGTTATCCTCTTTCCCCATCCCCCACCCCGAGAAACCCCTCCTGCTGCTTCTATGAGAGTGTGCCCCCACCCATCCAACCACTCTTTACTCCCACCCTTGAATTCCCCCACACTGGGGCATCCAGCCTTCACAGAACCAAGGACCTCCTCTCCTACCGAAGCCCAACAAGGCCATCCTCAACTACATATAAAACTGGAACCATGGGTCACTCCATGCGTGTTCCCAGAGTGGCGGTTTAGACCCTGGGAGCTCTGGTTGGTTGGTATTGTTGCTCTCCCCATGGGGCCGCAAGCCCCTTCAGTCTTGTCTCTACCTCCTCCATTGGAGACCTCATGATCAGTTCAATGGTTAGCTATCAACATCTACCTCTGTGTATGTCAGATTCCAGCAGAGCCTCTCAGGAGACAGCTATATCAGGCTCCTGTCAGAATGCACTTCCTGACATCCACAACAGTGTCTACCTTTGGTGACTGCACATGGGATGGATCCCCAGGAAAGGCAGTCCCCAGACAGCCCCTCCTCAAATCTCTGGTTCACGCTTTATCTCTGTACTTTCTCCTTTGAGAATTTTGTTACTCCTAAGAAGGAACAAAGCACCCACACTTTGGTCTTCCTTCTTCATGACCTTCATATGGTCTGTGAGTTGTATCTTGGGTATTCTGAGTTTTGGGGCTAATATCCACTTATCAGTGAGTGCACACCATGTGGTTCTTTTGTGATTTGGTTACCTCACTCAGGATGATATAGTCTAGTTCCATCCATTTACCTACGAATTTCATAAATACATTGTTTTTAATAGCTGAGTAATACTCCATTGTGTAAATGTACCGCATTTTCTGTATCCATTCCTCTGTTGAAGGACATCTGGTTACTATTCAGCTTCTAGCTATTATAAATAAGGCCTCTATGAACATAGTGGAGCATGTGTCCTTGTTATATGTTGGAGCATCTTTTGGGTATATGCCCAGGAGTGGCATAACTGGGTCCTCAGGTAATACTATGTTCCAATTTTCTGAGGAACCACCAGCTTGATTTCCAGAGTGGTTGTACCATCTTGCAGTCCCACCAACAATGGAGGAGTGTTCCTCTTTCTCCACATCCTCGCCAGCATCTACTATCACCTGAGTTTTTGATCTTAGCCATTCTGACTAGTATGAGGTGGAATCGTGGGGTTGTTTTGATTTGCATTTTGTTTCCCTGGTGATTAAGGATGTTAAACATTTCTTTAGGTGCTTTTTGATTATTCAAGTTTCCTCAGTTGAGAATTCTTTGTTTAGCTCTGTATCTCGTTTTTAATAGGGTTATTTGATTGTCTGGAGTCTAATTTCTTCAATTTTTGTATATATTGGATAATTAGCCCTCTATCAGATGTAAGATTGGTAAAGAACTTTTCCCAATCTGTTGGTTGCTGTTTTGTCCTATTGACAGTGTCCTTTGCCTTACAGAAGCTTCACAATGTTATGATGTACCATTTGTTGATTCTTGATCTTAGAGCATAAGCGGTTGGTGTCCTGTCCACGAACTTTTCCCCTGTGTCCATGTGTTTGAGGCTCTTCTCCACTTTCTCTTCTATGAGTTTCAGTGTATCTGGTTTTATGTAGAGGTCCTTGATCCACTTGGACTTGAGCTTTGTACAAGGAGATAAGAATGGATAGATTTGCATTCTTCTACATGCTGAGTTCCAGTTGAACCAGCACCATTTGTTGAAAATGCTGTCCTTTTTCCACTGGACAGTTTTAGCTCCTTTGTCAAAGATCAAATGACCATAGGTGTGTCGGTTCATTTCTGGGTCTTCTATTCTATTCCATTGATCTTCCTGCCTGTCTCTGTACCAATATCATGCAGCTTTTATCACTATTGCTCTGTAGTACAGCTTGAGGTCAGGGATGGTGATTCCTCCAGAAGATCTTTTATTGTTGAGAATAGTTTTTGATATTTTGGGTTTTTTGTTATTCCAAATGAATTTGAGGATTGCTCTTTCTAACTCTGTGGAGAATTGAATTGAAATTTTGATGGAGATTGCATTGAATCTGCAGATTGCTTTCAGCAAGATGGCCATTTTTACAATATTAATCCTGCCAATCCATGAGCATGAGAGAGCTTTCCATCTTATGAGATCTTCTTCAATTTCTTTCTTCAGAGATTTGAAGTTATTGTCATACAGGTATTTCACTTGCTTGATTAGATTCATACCAAGATATTTTATATTATTTGTGACTATTGTAAAGGGTGTCATTTCCCTAATTTCTTTCTCAGCCTTGTTGTCCTTTAAGTAGAGGAAGGCTACTGATTTGTTTGAATTAATTTTATATCCAGTCACTTTGTTGAAGTCGTTTTTCAGGTTTAGGAGTTCTCTGGAGGAAGTTTCGGGGTCACTTAAGTAGACTATCATATCATCTGCAAATAGTGATATTTTGACTTCTTCCTTTCCAATTTGTATCCCTTTGACCTCCTTTTGTTGTCTAATTGCTCTGTCTAAGAATTTGAGTACTATATTGAATAGGTAAGGAGAGAGTGGGCAGCCTTGTCTAATCCCTGATTTTAGTGAGATTCCTTCAAGTTTGTCTTTATTTAATTTGATGTTGGCTACTTGTTCGCTGTATATTACTATCACTATGTCTAGGTATGGGCTTTGAATTCCTGATTTTTTTCAAGACTTTTGTCAAGAAGGGGTGTTGAATTTTGTCAAATGCTTTCCCAGCATCCAGTGAGATGATCATGTGTTTTTTTTCTTTGAGTTTGTTTATATAGTGGATTACATTGATGGATTTCCATATGTTGAACCATACCTGCATTCCTGGGATGGTTATTCTGATGTTTTCTTGGATTGTGGCTTCATAGAACTAATTGGGTAGTGTTCCTTCTGTTTCTATTTTGTGGAATAGTTTGAATAGTATTGGTATTAGGTCTTCTTTGAAGGGCTGATAGAATTCTGCACTAAAACCATCTGGTCCTGGGAGTTTATTGGTTGGGATACTTTTAATGACAGCTTCTATTTCTTTAGGGGTTATGGGACTGTTTAGATGGTTTATCTGATCTTGATTTAACTTTGTTGCCTGATATCTGTCTAAAAAATTGTCCATTTCATCCAAACTTTCCAGTTTTGTTGAGTATAGGCTTTTGTAGTAGGATCTGATGATTTTTTTAAATTTCCTCAGTTTCTGCAGTTATGTCTCCCTTTTCAGTTCTAATTTTATTAATTTGGATACTGTCTCTCTGCCCTCTGGTTAGTCTGGCTAAGGATTTACCTATCTTGTTGATTTTCTCAAAGAAGCAGATCCTGGTTTTGTTGATTCTTTGCATAGTTCTTTTGTTTCTACTTGGTTGATTTCAGCCCTGAATTTGATAATTTCCTGCTGTCTACTCTTCTTGGATGTATTTGCTTCTTTTTGTTCTAGAGCTTTCAGATGTGCTGTCAAGCTGCACATCTGTGTATCCTCTCTCTAGTTTCTTTTTGTAGGCACTTAGAGCTATGAGTTTTCCTCTTAGCACTGCTTTCATTGTGTCCCACAAGTTTGGGTATGATGTGCCTTCATTTACATTAAATTCTAAAAAGTCTTTAATTTCTTTCTTTATTTCTTCCTTGACCAAGTCATAATTGAGTACTGTTCAGTTTCCACATGTATGTGGGCTTTCCAGTGCTTTTGTTGTTATTGAAGACCAGCTTAATCCATGGTGGTGATCTGATAGGATGCATGGGATTATTTCAATTTTCTTGTATCTGTTGAGGCCTGTTTTGTGACATATTATATGGTCTCTTTTGGAGAAGGTACCATGAGGTGTTGAGAAAAAGGTATATTCTTTTGTTTTAGAATAAAATGTTCTATAGATATCTGTTAAATCCATTTGGTTCATAACTTCTGTTAGTTTCACTATGTCTCTGTTTAGTTTCTATTTCCATGATGTGTCGTCCATTGCTGAGAGTAGGATGTTGAAGTCTCCCACTATTATTGTGTGAGGTGCAGTGTGTGCTTTGAGCTTTAGGAAAGTTTCTATTATGAATGTGTGTTGGGAGCCGACTCCTA